AACCAATTGCGCAGCGGTCAATTAGCCCGGTCATACCGTCAGGCAAATGCCTCATCAGCGGTAAATTATTCGGCGAGCAATTCTAGCAAGTGGTGCTACGACGTTGATAGCACTGACAAATTGAAGTTCTCAGTCAATAAACCCATCAGGCTTCGCGGGGTTGAGCTTTTTGGCTCCATAGGAAACGAGTACCAGGTTTCCTTACAGGTGAACTGTACCGAACCTTTTACAAAGTGTCTGGTAACACAGTCTGGAAATTACGCATCAACCGCCAGAGAGAACTCTAAATATTATGGCTTTGATGTATTGTTTGACCGTCCGATTCATCTGGAGGCATATAAATATTACGAATTACTATCAATTATCAAAGGTCCTTTGTCATGGTACGGACAGCGAGGCCAAAGCTCTGTTGAGTGCCAGGGAGTGCTTTTCACTTTCAAGGATCCTTATGACAGCAGACATAGAACCAACGCAAGTTGTGGCCAATTTCCCTCGTTAATCTTTACATAAATGGTATTGGTTGAATTGGTCACTGTTCTCAACTGAATGACTAAAGCCACTCATCAGCTTGTGTGATATCTATAGAAAGCCTTTTCAATGCAGTTAGAGTCCTGTATTAGATTCGTGTACAAAGCCGTGAAGAAATCTTAGCAAAGAGCCCTGTAGTCATGATTCATAATAATCATTGCTTTGTATTTGGAATGCAACCAAGGAATTAGTTTGAATATAGAGCCTTTTTCGGAGTGTTCAAGGTTTTCGATGCTGGAAAATTTAATAGTGAAATCGCTATCATGATACCTTTGTTATTGGGGTGACTCGCATTTTTACATGATTAATAATGAATTTGAAATATTGTTAACAGTCAAATATCCAAAACTAAAACCAAGACAGATTCTTAGAACGTTGGTGGTCAACTACCAAGTTGTAAATAGACTTGTAATTTACTTGCGTAGTAGATTGATTAACACATCAGTTTAATTGTCGAACAGTTGTTATTGACTTGATTGTAAATATTTTTCACAGACATTGTTATTCAATTCTGACCGTCTTTCCATTGTTAATGCATTAGTAAGCATCATTTGCAATTGTAAAACTTGCACGCTCGATATTTTTTGAGTCCCTTTTAAATAAAAGTGAATTTAACGATTATTATCAACTTTGATTTCATTAAAGTTTCAAAACGTGGAATGTTGTTTCCACGTTTTACACAGATCCAATTCGAGTGACTCGCGATGGCGGTTAATTTTCTTTGATCAAAATAAAAAAAAAATGGGTGGTTTGGGTCGAGGTGTCGGAGGTTGGACCCGAACCGCGCACGAAGCCTCTTACTTGTTTTTTCAATTGTTCTGTTGTGTTAATTTTTGGGCCCTACGCCACGTTTACACGCGCTTAAGTGCTCATTATTTCGTTGTCAGTTTGTGCAGCCGAACTAAGACAAGAATACAATTGAGCAGTTCGTAGAAATATTGCGTTTTAAAACTGTGTAAACTCCTTTCGAATTCCAACGTTTGTCATTCTATTCAGTTTCAGAGTTCATTCTGATTCCTGTAGAAGTTATTTATTCAGGTGTAAGGAATCCAGAAAAAAAGACTGGATTATTTTTGGTTATGCTTTATGCTACTTTGTACAGAAAACCATGTTGTAGAAAAGGTTGAACACACGCACTTGAAATTGGAATTCCTATTAATTAGATGGCGTATCAGATAAATTCCACTCAAGTCAAATGGATGAACGTGTGAAGCCTGATAACTTTAAATTTGCGTATCGCTTCCGAGCGTTGTCGAATGAATGAGTAATAAAAGATGTATCAATAAAGGAACAGACTTTCGTATAAACTCAGACACGGTCCCCTCGTTACTCAGAGTCATTAAGGTAATAAAGAGGTGTCCGCCAGAGATAACAACTATAGCGATAGAAAATATTTTCTTTTGAGAGCAGATTAGATTGAATCGACTTTTGCACAAAGTATTTTCCTCCGGGAGGCTTATTTTGGTACACAGGAAACTCTTCATAATAAAAAGTTGTCCTTAAGAGATGGCTCTCTGCACGGAAAGGCTAGATTGTGTTGCTTAAATTAAAACGTTCAGGATTTTCATGCGCGCGTCAATTCGTTTTGAAGGAAGCTTATAATGATTTTGATTCTTTCCTTAATGTTTCAAACCTAGGGCAACCGATTTAAGTTTAAATTTAATGAAAAATCAGATCAAATCTGAGTGAAGGAAAATAAATTGGGAGTTTTGACACTTCAGTGAAACTAAACTTAACACGAGTCTAATTTTCAAGTTTGTGCGTGATGATGCATGTAACAATAGAGAGAGGTGAAAAAATTAACAACAATACATGTGGAAAATAATTTACAAATCATTTTAGGTGAAAGTTGGTGCATAACAATGGCTAGACGCGCACTAAGAAATAACAATAGGTGTGATAAACAGTTTTCTAATCAAGTCAATGACAAGTTTGGTGGTAGCCCGCCCACATTTGAACAGCGTGTGCTATATAAAAAAATTAATTTCACAACCAGTCAGTTACCTTTTATACCTCTGTGTCGAGAACGTCTCTTGCGAGCTGTGCACTTCAAAGTTGAAACTTCGCTCACCGGAATTTAAAAAATGAACTCAAGGAAGGCCTGCAAAAGACCAGCCGCGGAAATTGAATGTAAGTAAATGTAACCGAATTGAAATAAGCGACTTAATCCACAAGTTCTCTACAAAAACTAATACATTATAATGTAAACCATTTAATAAGTATTTTGCTGCTTTCCTTGCACTTTCGGTTTACTTCCACGAGGAGAGTATGCGTTATCATAATCTTTTGAAAACAAGATCACGATTTTGCTCATCTGCACTTACACGCCATGAGGACAGCTAGTATTAGTATGCTATAATAAGATAACGTGAACCTTATAATTAATTCTTCTTATTGCGTTCCTTAAAGAGATATATGTGGGATATATTTGCGCTGGGATTTTATAGCCAAAGCGAATTAACAATTTTATTTATTGATTCCCTAAGATGACCAACTGCGAAAAAGGCGAAGAAGAACAGCGTTTACTAATGAACAACTCAATCGAATGGAGGAAGCATTCCAAGAAGAACGATTCCCGGGTATTCACTTACGAGAGAAGCTGGCGCGAGAACTGAACATACGAGAAGACAGGATTCAGGTAGGATTGACGATTCATCTCGGACTGAAAGGAAATTTGTTAATTCAGACATATCATTCAAATAGGTACTATGAAGACCTAAGATAAGACAACATGTGACATAGCCACTTTTCGAATCCAGCGATAAATTATCTGAGCTAAGCACAAGAAAAATTAATGATTCAAAAACCCACACGGGCGACCAGGTTTAATGGTTTTAGTTTAACATCTGAGAGAGTGTTGTGATTTTTCTGAACCAACCAAAGAATTAAGTAAGGCAATACCAATACAATCCCGGATTAAACTTTCGACAATCGATTGAAAATTGCCATGCTACACTTAGGGTAACAGAGTTCAGCGTATGATCATATTGACTAAAGCGGTTGTAATCAGAGACGAGATCCCACTCAGGTGTGCAGTATTGTTATGTGTATGTATTTGACTGAAATTGTTCTAATTCTTTCTTCAGGTCTGGTTCCAGAATCGCCGCTCAAGATGGCGAAGGCACGAGATCAAAAACAAGCCTGCCCCATCCCTCCCTGATTCCACAATCCGATCAGTCAGTAGCCCGTTTGTGTCACCAGCCACGTTCCAGCCCTCGCCCGTCAGTTTCCCGCCTTGGAGCCCATTCTTCTCTCCGTTTTTAGGAAATGCTTCTATGTTTCTACCAAACGGGCCCACTACCGAAGACATGCTTCCCAGGATTACCAGTTTCCCGGGCGAGGCATACTCAACATTCTTTCACATGGACACCAGGGGACAGTGTTCCTCTCCACAAACGGTCAGTGTGATGTTAGGTCCTCGTGTATCAGCTTCAGTGAGCTCATCATTCAGTCCCAATTCCTTACCCACTGGCAACCTCAAGGCTCGGCACCAAGCTTCTTTTGGCTCGGACAGTGGAGAGGATCGTCACTCATTAGATGATTACCTTGCTGCTATTACTTTGGTCAGCGGTTTTCCGCGGCAAAATTAGGTCTCCCTGTGACACCAGCGTGGATCAAAGCTTAAAATGTTCATTTTGTAATAATTACTGTAATTCTTTATGTAAGGGTTTTTCTTTTGTCGAAAAATTGAGAATAAATTTTTATCCGTAAGAACAGGAGTAAAAAATTGTGAGCTTGTTGACAGCATAGGATAAACAATTCCCAGTTTTCAGACCAAAAAGGAACCTTGAACAATATCCTTTTGAGAGAGCACACCTGTAATGTTTGAACCTTAAACTCCTCCAAGTAATCAGAGAATTTCTCCCTACAATAACATGACAATATCAAACAGACGAGTGATGAGAATAGCGAAATATATCAATATGGAATTATGAGTTGATCCAGTATCAAATTCTCCAAACTAACATCATTAGGATCATATGGTAGACAGTAAGGAGATTTGTTAATGAGATCTTGAGAGTAAAAGGATTAAATATTGGAAAACCATGTCATAAAATTACCCTGAGTCCATAATATTGAAGTAAATATACAAAAAAAGCAATTACTTTTCTTTATTTCCAATTCTTTCATAAAAAAGTATAACAGGTCGGTGAATTAAATGCTTTAAGGTATCAATTTTCACTAAAGAAATGAGGAAAGTAGGAAAGTAAGATTCTCACTAGAGCAAATCTGATAATTCACTGTGTACGTAAAGAGACTCTTTACATCTTGTAACTGGTTTACAGCTCAACTACAAAGACATTTTAAAATTAATAAAATATAAGTTCTTATACTATGTAACCTGATAACACTTTTTAAATATTCACTCTAATTCCTTTCAAAGAAACAATAGATTTTCACACAGAAAGTACAAAATCTGAACTAAAAAATAAATATTCTTATAACTCAGTATCTCAATTGTTAAAGGTACGAATGTTGGTTATTTCAAAAAATGGAATCTTGCAGTAGTCATAACACTGACACCTTGATTTTGAACGTTTTTCCCCTACAGTGATTAAAATTTAACTTCTCTCTATGACAGTCATACATACATTATCCAGCAACAGGTAATGAGAATGGTCAAATTTATCAGCTATCTTGATCTAACACCAAATTCTCATAAACAATCTACAAGGAAGGAATTGTGTTTCAGCTAGAGGGGAGAATTAACAATCAGAGGCAGAATTTCTCCTTACAATATCAATACAATATCAACCAGAAAAGTGATGAGAATAAAGAAAAATATCACTTTGGGGCAAATTAGTTGATCCGATTCTAAATTCTCTGAACTAATATTATAAGAATTGTATGGTTGACAGTAAAGAGAATTACAAATTTGGTTTGGGAGTTAAAGGGTTAAAGAGTTACAGAGGAAGGGCACACTTTTCTGATTTCTTTCCCGTGTAAAAGTACCCTCAACTTGAAGAAAACTTACAAAAAATTGAGTTGGGTAAACAATGGAAAAGACTAAATAGGCAATAATTAATCCAGGAAGCAACAAGAATTAAACAGTTTATGAATTATTAATTTAAAAAAATTCAAGTTCAATTTTATCATGACAATTGTTTTTTAGTATCTGAACGTAACTGTTTGCTATCTCTCCCAAAATCAAGAATTAATTGAATTTCACTATAAATCCTTATCGAAACTATTTTGAATTCACATTAAATTTTTATTATTTACAATACAGTTTAAGAATTTCTAATTCAGCCCTTCAAAACTGGTCAGGAAATTCTGATGCTACACCAAATAAAATTACATTTCTTCTTTGTAAATAGAGCTGCAATTTCTGAAGATAAAAAGAGGGTTGACTATGCTCTGAAGATCAATCCATACAGGTAAAGGGGCTCTTGATTGTTAAACAACTTTTCCCCGCCTGTACCACTGGAAATTTACAGAGAACAGTAGGACGAATATGTATAATGTTAGATAAGGTGTCTAGGGTTAACCCTTTTGTGCAGATGAAGGGAGGGCCTGATCCCTCACCTTCACAAGGTCAGCACCTTCTCCCTTCCTTTATGTATAAAAATGCAACAAAATTTAAAATTTATGTAATTGAAAAGGAAAAAAAACTAGGAAAACAGTACAACTGCTATAACTCTAAATAAAGAGGAAGGGAATTGCAAATTGCTACATGTAGAAAATAATGGGAAATAATTGGCAAGCTACCTGGAAAATGGAAAATACATCTCAATCATTTTTCTGTCTCAGGGAAAGGTGGCCGATTGTTTGTATACTTCACAGAGCGAAAATGACACAATAATTCCAGAGCTAATGACAATTGTCATAACCCCACCACCCAAAAGTAAATTAGGGGGCATGAATAAGGAGCTTTCTATGCCATTTTCACACTAGCACCTTCATTGCTTATTGATCAACAAATCTCCACACTGTATTTGCTCATCTAGAAAAGCCTGCTCAGAGGGGCGACCAGCTACCTGTTTATGTATCTATAATCTTCCAAGATTTTGTGAGCTATCATCTTCTCACAGTGTCCCCTCTATGATAAATGTTGTCATCTGGAATTGTCAGACTCTCTCCTTCTGTCATGTTTTCCAAGAGCACAGCCTCTTCATCAGATCCATTCATCACTGCTCGTCTTTCATATTTAACTTTGTTCCTTGTGTCTTCTTTCTGTAATAATTTTTTCTTCTTTCGCATGAGGAAATTGTCAACAACCCAGAACATTATAGCCTGGGGAGATAACAAAGTTTTAAATGTACATTAACCCTATACACCCTAAGAGTGATAAGCATCTTATTTCTCCTTACAGTATTAGTCTTGAATCAGGCATTAGTACCGTGAGACTTAAGGAAACAGTTACCAACTCAAAAAGCTCTTGATTAGAAAACAAATTCTCCTTGCCAGCACCTTAGGAGTTGTATAGAGAACAGTATGGAGAATGTGCATACTGATGTTAGGGTGTAATAGGTTAAAACAGTGCTGTAACTCATCTTAGTAGCTCTTTAAAACCTAGGGGTGATCAGCATCTACTTTCTCCTCAGTAATACAGCTGAATCATCTAGTAACATTATGAGAATAGATTGCCAACCTACTTGCAAGAGACTTTGATTGTTAGACAAACTCTCCTTATCAGTACCAAAGAAAATGCAAAGAGAAGAACATGCAGCACATACAACCTCTTCCTTTCCCTCTTTCTAAACCACCTCTGCTGTGCAAAAATCACCAGCAATCTTTTAAACATTACAATTCAAGGAACCTACTTACATTGAAAACAAAAGGAATAATCAGCATTGATATTGCAAGCTCCACTCTTGGATGGTTCTTGACTGGTAAAAGAATAAACCTACGAACTTCCTCCCAAAAATTAAGTTGCACCAGTAGGGTTATGGTAGCCTTTTCAATGATGACAGCCCACAGGTACAGAAAACACTGCCCTGCCCAAGCTTTGCACTGTGGAGGATTACCTGCCAGTGGAAAAATTAAACATTACTATTCAGCTGAAACTGTCTCCTCAGGTAGCTACACGTAGTTGCACAAGGAAAGTGATATTTTAGAATTCCAGTTTCTAGGCAAGACGTGTACTTTTAGATAGATGACCTTAGAGAAAGTAGAACCCAGAGGTTAATAACCATATGAGTTTGCAGTGTATGAAAACCAATCAGATTTTTGGCAAATAACTGTCCATAATTGATGATAAGATTATGAGCTTTTTCTACAAGATTTCTATTGCATTATAGTTGATAAGGGTGGAATGTTCATAGCAATCAAGAGCACATAGATCTAGTGCTAGATCACTGAAATATTTATTCTAAAACTGGATATTAACAATGAATAAAGAAAGTCATTCATCAATCAGTTGCAAGCATAGGACAAAGAGAAAACTTCAGTCCCCAAAAAGGCATCAAAGCCCAGATCTTCACGTTTTGCAGTGCACTGCTGTTACACTGACTTGACACTTATTGTAAGTTTGAATATTTATCAAGTTCATATTTGGCAAGCCTACTACATACTGCTGAGATCATCAATTTGAGAAGCTTTGAGGTGCATGTTGCAACCAACTGCATCACCAAGTGGAGGTTGGGTGCCTGAGACATCCAGGAGCTATCACTACTGGCAGCCAGCTCCTGGATGGAGACTTCTCCCATGGCTGGCAAATCCTGGCAATCCAGCCATGAGCCCCCACCCAGGAAAGTGAAAAGGCACCCATCACACTGAATAAACAATGGAAAGAGGGAGGGAAGGGATGGGGAAAACTGCCCGGACAATGAGCTGCCACTCCAAACAACGCTGAAAGTTCATGCTGAAAGCACATGCAATAAAAGCTCAGATGAAGAGCACATGGAATTCTAACACATGCACATATGTAGAAACCACTGACTACTAGAGAATGCTAATGCTCTTTGTTGTTAACTCTATTAAATTGTATTTAACTGCATTTAATTTTTACGACCAAATCCTGAAAGTTAGTCGCCAAATTGGCGACTAGAACGTTTCATCATAACCTTACCACGTGTATAACCTAGTTTGCTGATTTGTTCTCTGTACCTCAGCAGCAGAGAATCAGATTGTCAAAAGTCTGCCATTCATTCTCATGGGGGGGCTGAGATTTTCTCTTTAGTCCATACTTGTGGATGTACAAATAGAAACTTTCTTCATTCCATAATTTGGCTCAAAGTTTACCATTATTCTATTGCTTATTTTCATTTAAGTCATGTCATATTTCACATAAATCTTACCATACTCGCCAAATCTCAAGTTATCCCAGTCATACATTCTTACAATAACTTGCATGAACTGAAGACAGAGGTAAATTACCACAAGGCCAAGAGTAGAATCCAACAAGAAATTTATCAGGTACCTTCAAAGAAAAAGATGCATTAGTGCATGATATTATTCTAACATATCCCATGCTAACAAGAACATGACCCTCTTGCTTTGATTCTATCAGTATCAACTTCTAGCTGGGAGTTTCAGGTAAAGGAAGAGATAGAGAGATCAATAGTCAAAGGAAACTGTTTTTTCTTTTAACCCTTTAACTCCCATAAGTGACCAAGATAGAATTTCTCCTTACAATATCAATATGATATCAAGTAGACAAGTGATGAGAATAAAGAAAAATCTTAATTAAGGGATTATTAGTTGATCCAATACCAAATTCTCCAAACTAACATCACAAGAATTATTTGGTAGACAGGGCAGGGAACTACCGATGAGATCTTGAGAGATAAAGGGTTAAGACTCCAAACTTGCATTGCTAGGCACAGTATAAGAAATATAACCTTAATAATCTAGAGTTAGGAATTATGGGAATTTCATAGTAACCTTGATATTTTATAAATATAGATGCATTGTACTCAATCTCAATAAGTCCAGCTGTGTAAAATTGCCACAACATGCAAGTCCTAGAGTCTCTTGGGAGTTGTAATGACAAGCCTGAATCTGGTACCTGTTTATTACAATATGTCAGCTTGTTCAAGGGGAAAAGACATATATGTTTCACTCACCAAGTGCATGGATCACCTTTGAAAAGATTAGCTAAGAAGATGTTGGCAAAGTGTACAAGCATGGCACCAACTGCTTGCTTTGAGGTATCAAAAAACCTGCAATGACAGGCCAAAAAACAGGCATTAAGACAGTTGCTTTTGCTTGGATGAAAAAACCATCATGCTTACATCTCGAGCTTTTCAAAATTTGCCAGTGACTTGATTACATCACTTACCAAATAAGAACAGGTCTTCTTTCAGATAGAGGTTCTCTCAATCTTTTCACTATAAATAAAGAATAACAGATCATTTATCACTTTTTTCAGATGTTAACCCAAGCAAACCATCACATCACATTCAACCTGTTCAGTTTTATTAAAGACTCAAAAATGTTCTTTTCACAGTAATGGTGGTCACTTCTATACTATAAAAATGATGTGTAATTCTGGGGAATGGAAGGGTTATTAGGTCAATAATCTCTTGTACGTGTAGGTCGAAGAAAAATATAGAACTTCTTTTCTGCATACTCAGTCTTATTATAAACTGCCTCTACTTTATTGCCAGAAGATGAAACCTCTTGAAATTATGCCACAAAAAGTTAGGATACTAAACTAACAAAGTGAATTTCATATTAGGATAGAACTGAGAATAAACTCCCAGAACATACAACTTCTCTCTATGATATCCAAACATTCTCCAGCAAACAGATAATGGGAATACTCAAACTTATCAGGTAGAAGTTGTTATGTTGATCTTGAGCCAAAGTCTTGTAACTCATTTACTAAGAAATGTGAAGCAATTAGAAGGGAGAATCAACCAATAGATCTTGGAAGTTTAAAGGTTAAATATCTAACTTCTACCTCTAAAATAATAAGTCATATTAACCCTCTAACTCTCTAGATCTGATTTTCAATTCTCTCCTCTAGCTGCAACATGTTTCCTTGTAAATTAGTTGCAAGAATTTGGTGTTAGATCAAGATAACAACTTTTACTTGATACATTTGAGTATTCTCATTACCTATTTTGTTATTGTAGGGAGAAGTTAGATGTGAATCACTTCTGGGAGTTAAGAGAGCAAATGAGAATGACACAGCTTAATCTAAGCAGAAATATCACCGCCTGACTTTGCATGCAATGATGTCATAGATATGTTCTTAATTATATAGGACCACAAAACAAACAATAGTGGATATTGATATCAACACTTGTCTTCTAAGTAGATACCAAGTAAAAATGAATGTAATAGAAAAAACATTGTACTTTTTATGGTAAAAACAACCTTTCTTCACATCTGATACATCAGAATTAAGCTAAAAAACAGCGAACTCTCAAAGAAAAAATAGATGAGCATGGTACAAAACTGTACAACATCTTGAATTGTAAAACAGGAAAAATAGTTACACAACAAACTTCAAACTTGACAAAATATGAATATGACAATTTAGACAATCCTTGCTTCTTAATGTTGAGACAGATCACAAAAACATTATAATGCTCAACTCTGTGCATTGGGAGATCTAAATATAAATGCATATCTACTTAATTGTGAAAAGAAATTGTCATCCAAGATCCCTTCCTTTTAAAAGAAAATAATGCTGTAAACCATTTGAATAAAATGTAATCAATCCTTCTTGTCTTCATACATGCAACAAATATATCAGTTTTGAAAACACGTTTGCATTTATATTTAATCAAACTGACATTTTTTTTGTTTTTAAAGTAAATAAAATTGGGCTCTTTATTTTAATCATTTATCACTAGAAGTATTAGAAATTTATGTTCTCACTTCTCCTGTGAATTTTGTTCTCAGAATTAAAAATGAAAATCATAACTTTCCTACATGTACTAACACCTAAGGTGAAGAAAATTATAAGGTAGATATATTTTTCTTATTTGAAAACTAAGCATAAAAATATTTAAGACGGATGAAATGCTCTTGACCGTCTCAGCTGCTCAATCATGTGCAGATCGGGGATATTCAGCTTACATCGACTTAATTTATGAAATACATGCATGCTTCAATCATCTACACGCAAAACTATTAATGTGCATGTAGTCATGTACGTAATTGCATGAAATTCGCTTATGATAACAAAAGGGAAGAATCATTTCTAATTCCCCCTAAATTCCTTGAAAAAAAAAGAAAAATTCCAAAGAACAAACAAAAATCCTATTGCCTCCCGAGGAACAGGTGTTTAGTGTTTTGTTAGTGCATTAGATGAAATGCTATTTTTGGTATTCATATATGACAGCGAAGCTAACTACAAAATTCATAAGATTCCCTAAAAGTTCGCATAACTACCAATTATCTTACTTAGAGTGTGTTTAATACACCGAGATTATATTTTGGCGAATAAATAATCCATTACTGTGAAAATGAAATTGGGGGAAATTGGTGAAAATCATAAAATTTCACTCAATGATGCGAGGAAAATGTTTTATGTTCCTGTCAAACTGACATTGAAATCTAAACACGATTGACAAAATTCTAGTCGCCAAGGGATAAATTCGCTACGAAAGAAGACGCTATGATTTTGAATAATATGTTTAATAACTAATTCTACTCACAAATAAGAGTGCTGAATGCCACAGCGGCGAGAATTCCTTGAACAAGGAGTCCGAAGTCATCGTTTAAGCGGCAGTGTTTCGGGTCCGAAGCCATTTCCGTCATTTCAGTTGAGTGCAATAATCTATCGACTTTCGAAGAAAGCGTCACACCAGACGAAAAAGAACGATTCATTAGTTAGAGACAACCTTCCTTCCAAACCACAGTGGCAGCTGATGGCAGTTTTGGCTCTGGATTAACGAAAATTTACCGCGAGAAACAACGACCTCTCCAACAAATTATGCCAACCTCACAGATAATTGAAATCAGATAGCTGAGTAGCCGCTCCCATATGATGTCTTTCCCGGAAAGGAGCACACATATGACGTCTGAAAATGCCCCTAGGGAATGGCGCCCCTGTGCGATCCGTTGTGAACTTTTGAGTACTTGAGGTCCAACCGTGGCTTCATTGTTCCAACAGAAATACTTCCTCTTTCATGCAGGAAAAAACCTAGGCGCGAAAAAGATTTCTTTGCGCTTACACACGATTTAACGATCATTTGACCACCCCACCCCTTCACTCCGCATGCCATAGTCAAGAAAAAATTTTCACCCCTCCCTCCCTCCATCAACGTCGGTTTAACGTGCAGGACGAATTCTTTAAATAACAGAAACAGAAGTATTCGTTGAAAAAACGAAATTTTATTGAGTAAATTTGTAACAATTCACGCAAAATAAACTTAACGTACAAAAAAATATTTTGTTTGAGTGATGCTACAACTATTCTACATATTTGACAACTGACTCTATCTACACTTAAATAGTTTGTTAAATATGAACCAAGGAGTCCCACCCCACCCCCCCACTTTTTTGCAAAAATAGAAAATAAATTAAACAAAAAAACTTAAACAAAAATAATGGAGCCGAAAATAGCCCCCCCCCCCCCCCCCCCCCCACTCAAAAACTTGCAGCGCGGTCCCTGGTTAGAGTACGAGTACTTCACATCACATAAACAATTTGAATCTCGATTATATTATCCATGTAGTTTTTAACTTAGGAGAAAATTTTGATAAATGCTATTTCTATAACAACTTCATACTTTCTCTTACAGCAGGCCACTATAACATTAAGTCAGATATATTAATATTATTGGCAATTACAAATGTCGTTTTAATATAATAAACCTACGGAATTTTTTTTTATTTCTTTACTTAAAAATTCGTACCGGGTGCGGGCAATTCCAAGTTTCTGTAAACTGTAAAACTCTTTACTACCAAAGAATTATCTACAACGTAAGGAAACTTCTCTATAGTATTTAAAATATGTCCTCTACTACTATTAAAAAAATATTTAAAAAATTAGGAGATAATGCTCAGTACTGAGCACAGTACTGATACAAGAATTGACACCTTTGATGTGATTTTCTTTCCCCTGGAGGGAAGAATTTTTCCTTCGACATCCTGTATCGCAGATCTACGTTGATCTTTACGTGGCTTTTCACGTGGTCTCTTTTTTTCAGACGAAGGATCTTTAAGTTTACGGCAGAATGGGTTGAATTCATCATAGATAAAGTTAACGTCGTCTTGTAGCTGCGGTGTGACGTCACAGTTCTCCAGCGTAACGTTCTTCGCACAACGTTTCGCCTCGAAGTATTTGCTAAACGAAAGTAAAAAAAGGAAAACTTTACTTGAATTTAGTTTTAAAATGGTTCGCTCGGCCAATCGGAGCGAAGGAAAATGTAGCCAGGAGCCAATGAGATGTCAAATTATACAGACGCAGACTGTGTCTACTTGGTTTACAGGTGTGAGTTTTCTTTCACCAATCAAACAGCTTTGCACAAAAAAATCAAAGCAGTGATGGAATTTCTCAAAAAGTAGCGCGGAGAAATCTCTTGGAGATTGCCTAACTCACCCACACAAAGACTTGTCTGCTTTGTTTGCTACGTAGGTAGCCACAAAGCTTTCTGCACATTTTTTTCTTTGCTCAAGGTAGCTCTCTCCGCACTGGTCGTGCTTTACCGCTGGGTAAGGGAACTGGACCTGAGTCCCCTCACAGTATCTACGTTGCTGAAAGGATCGACTCCTCTTGAAACCCGCCTCTATCCTCTTTTTATTATAACTGGTATCGTTCCTATGGCAATGGAGAGCGACCTTTTTCGCACAGTTGTGAAGCTTTTCCATAAAGACTGATCTACAAAAAACAAAACTGACAATACTCAGTAACAGAAATGTCTAAAGAAATTTGCACAACAATAACAAATTATTTGAAGCTCCACATTTCTTTCGGCCATGAAATACAACAAGTTTAGAAGGATCGATGTTAGTAAATAAAACTTTTATTAAAAACTGCAGGCTCAGTTTGTTAGTCATAACAAAATTCTGGAAAAAACACCCCAAGATCTTGTTTGTTACGCAGGTAGCCAACGCGAATGACAAAGGACCGCAAAGTGTAGTGGGTAAGGAGTAGCCATGTGATGCACTGTATTGAGATGACTGGAGATCCCCTCCCACCCACCCCTAACGACACTGACATGGGCTAAATAAGACATAAACATTTCATACTGACCTACAGGGTTTCTTGGGAAATTTTTGCAAGGTCTGTACAAAATCTGCCAGACAGACCCTGCTCCTGGTCAAGTACTCTCGTTTGGTACACAAGCCAAAAGGGCTTGAAATGGCACTTCTTGGTTCTGAAACGAAAAGAAAAATAAAGGTCATTCCGTATTATTTGATTGCCTTTATACTCAGTTCGCGACGAATGATACCCCCTCCTCCCCCCCTGAAAACTATTTGGCCCCCCACAATCCTCCTCTCCACAGGTGACAAATAATTACTGGTCCGTTACATCAACGAGGTACCCGTTGTGCTCGTACTTACTTGGTTTCTTAGCATCTCCGCCACCGGAGCAATACGGATTGAAGGGGTCTTGATATATCTTGATCAGGTTCTTTACCTCGGGGGTCTTTTGGCAGAACCTCTCAGCAACCTTAATAACGCACTTCTTAAGGTTACTGTACTTTCTAACAGAATAAAATAAAATAAAAACGCCAGTTATAACAATAACCTTCAAGAGAGAAAGGAAAAAAAGAAATCTTGACATGTCTAAATTACGATCGCTTCATTCCCTCCCCAATGCAGATCTCTGCGTAAGCGTTGGAAGGATAGCGCAGTGACAAGAGCGCTTGTGGACCACCGCCGTGGCGTGGATTCGATTTCCGAACCTACGGTCAAATTCATGTTGAGTTGCTGTTTATCGTCATTTTTTTGAGGGTTTTTCTGCTAGTTAGCTTTCCAGTCATTTTCTCGCATCAGTATGTATATTCTCCATACTGTTCTCTTTACAATTGCTAAGGCACTGATAAGGAGAATTTGTTTAACAATCAAGAGTTTCTTTAATTGGTAATTATTTCCTTTCTCCTCATGGCCTTACTGTTTGATTTAGGGGTGACATTGTAAGGAGAAATTAAATGCTAGTCATTCCTAAGGAATAAGGCTTAGGTAAGCGGTGGATCTAACCTGCATAACGCAGTGCTTCCATTGTCATCGCTGAATCGTTTATGGAACGAAGCTGGACACTTCCTCATTTTCTTATGAGCCTTCTTCCGGCAACCTTGCATGACTTTTCCATTGAAGGGATCCGGATTCACCCCACCATAGGAGCAGTAATACTCCTCCGAAGCGGCAGCCACTCGTTTGATTTGATTTATTTTGCCAAGAGTAGTTGAATCCGAAGAATTTTTGCATCTGTGTAATGCTCGCCCTATGCAGGTTTGCATTTCAGCGTAATGATTCCTGAAAAAAAATTTGGTGAAGAAAAAATGGTTTCAAATCAGTGATTCTTGATTTTCAAGTGGCGTTCAAGGAAACAAAACCGCCCCACCCTCTTCAAAGGCGCATTTCGCGTGAGTGTCGTCAAACCAAAACGAGCCTAATCATGACAATGACGGAATCCTTCTCAATTATATTGTACTAAAAGGTAAATATTTTATTTATCGCACCAAGCTAAATAAGACTTCTCTATCCTTTAAATCCTTTTTCGAAAGAATTAAGAGTATGTTTCAAATAGAACGTTTTATAGCCAGAAAGAATAATAAACTTGAGATCCATTACAACAAATGGAAACCCCTCCTTCAACTGATAGAACAATAGCTGAACTAATTTATTATTTATATCAATACGCGATGCCTCTTTTTTTTGTTTTTTTTTCTTTATTTCTTTCTTTTCTTTTATTCTCGTAGTCCAGTGTAGTGGTATTTTCTTTGTGTAATAGAGTAGTGTAATGTAAATTTATGCATGTAGAAATTTGTGATGTATCTTGCGTACTTGTAAAAACTGTAAAAACCCAAAAACAAATAAAATTTAAAAAAAAAAAAAAAAAAACGAACGTAATAACAGAAGGCAATGGGAGCGAAGGACATCAGCAAGAGGAGTTTATGAGAACTCAAAATGAATGACAAAAAAAATGTCTGAAGTGCAGGAAACTACGACTAACAGAGTCATGCATGATTGGTTACAGTCGTGAATCCGATTGTTTGATAGGATGGCGCTAGTTTCTTTCAACCAATCACTTGGCAGAGCAAATTAAAACCGAGAATGGAACCATGGATTACTTTGAAAGGCTCGACAAAAAATTTATATTTTGCAGGTAATTGGTGATTTTTCGTACTCTTTCCTATTTCTCAATTCACTTTAAACCCTATCGTATACCTCGAGCCAAAAAATTGTGCTCCTTTCTTTCGCAAACTGAATACTGCCTACCCCGCCTTCCCCTCTTTCCCCACCCCTCCCTCACTAAGGATGTATATTTTAAGTAGTTTCTTGCTTTTACCTGCAAGTCTTATCCTTCGCCTCCCGAAGGTTGCTTGCGAACGTAGTTACGCACGCCTTGGAAGCTCTTTCAAAATCATTGGACGTACATGTGTTGGCGTTCTTCACGGAGAGAGCCAGAAGAATCGGCACTGAAGATAAATTATCGGCAAAAAGGCATTGAGATTAAGGCATTTTTCCGAGACTGGGGACTGGTAACCATTTATAGTTTTGAGGAAAGGGGTTGGGGGAGGGTGGGAAGATTTTGATTCTGTCCCAACAAAATTTACCTTCATTTGGATGGGCAAAATTTTCCACTTTGAGTGATTCTTAGGTTATGAACCTAAAAAATATATAATTAATTCGGCCGACGGAGTACAAGCTTTTAATTACCAAAATGATGAAACTATTCTGCATATCTAATTAAAGTAATTGCATCATTTCCCCAGCTGTCTTCTGTCTAAATGCTACCGTATCATGACGGCTTAGGGGGGAACAAAGATCTCTTTTGAAGCCGGAAAGATTTCCTCTCTTCGTGGTACCGTTTTACAGAGTACCAGAATGCTCTTGCACTGCCATGAGATGCTTACGCTGCAATTACGCTTTTTGATTAACAGCGGCGTGTTTCGCTTAACCGCAACCGTCAACTGCCTTGACAAAGACTTCTAAACATTATTAAGAGTTTTTACCTTTAAAACCATAAGAACATATTACAAAGGCGAAAGCTGAGTTGAAAAGTGAAAATTAATTTATGTACTTAAGTTTTGTTTGTCAGTAATTCAATTACTTGTTTTGCGACTCCACAAAGGACAGGACTGTTGAGAATATGCAACACTGTTGCAATAAATAAGTTACTGCCACTATTGATAGATTATAACGCGTAAATGTTAATAATTCTTATTATATGATTCCTATCCAATTTTCAATTTGTCCTCAAACGATTATCGATGCATCAAGCCAGCAAGTGATTTGATAATGATCAATGAAGGTGTCTCACTCACCCAGAAAAACAAACCGTTTCAGTCCGTGATCCATTGTGGCAGTGTTGTGAGCACTTATTGGAGATGAACTCAAGAGAACTTGAAAATTAAACCGCACTAAAAGAACTTGAGTGATATCTACTTAATACGAAGCGAGATTTCGATTTAATAGGAAACTCCCGGCCAATCACGTAGTAGTCTATTTAAAACGTACGTCCCCTAAGAATTGACATGTCTCTGCACACCCAAGAGAAGTTATGATGATAATTGTATGCAAATTCTAAAAATATGAATGAGTAACGTCATCAACTGTAAAATTGACTTTCTCAGCGTATCAAAATTGCTTTTCAGTGCATCTATAATTGTACGGTGATTTCCCCGCTTGGATGGAATCTACGTCTCGAAAAATGCGCAACAGAAACTGTCGTCCTCCCACGTGACGTATATCTTTCCCGTCAAATATAGCTCGAAAAAAAATAGTTTTAAACCTCTCGAAATGAAAGGTTTCGCAACAGTTTTAATATTTCTCGAAAATCCTTTCACAAAGAGTTGCTACAAACTGTTTCTAAAATTCAACTAAAGAATTCTAAGGTATTACTTCAGTCACGTATGACATTTGTTGAGCCAGTTTTAGAAGTCACGCTCACTCAGTGTCACGCTAGCTCAAAGTCAAAACGCTGCGTGAAGTGAATTTGAGATTAACAGTGTTTTCTTCTGATGTTAAAAGCTTATAAAGATCTAAGTTTTGCTGACATACGTGAGGTATAATGAAATACGTGACATTAGCGAAACAGGGAGTTTATGACGCATTTGTTCCATATAAAGTTTGGTTATATCATCATTTTCTTCTTTCAATTGCAAAGTTTCGGTTTCGGTTTGTTTTCGATGCTACATCTTTATTCATGATTAGGAATCTACTACGGACTTTGCCTTCGTTTCATCACCTTTTTTGCACAGATCTTATTCAATCACATCCAGAATAAGAGCTCAATTTCCTATTTTTAACCTAGAATTTCTAGGAGAACAAATAAAGTCGTGGCTTTGACCGATAAAGATATTTATTTTTAAATCACTAACCAGCCATGAAATTGCTTACAAAGCACCTTTGTTTGTAGCGTAAGGTGTAAAATCAATTCTTGGCCAAAAAAGGGACAAAATCGAATTATTGTTACTCGATGTAGAATATTTCGTTCTTCTTCCTTTCAAGAGCGGAAAATTTTGCCTGACTGCCACTGAAAAAGGTCTGCTTCAAAGAGTCGATGTTCTTTGGTAAGTTTTGCTGACGTTGCACAAACGCGTTAATTTACGACTGGATCCTCTATTGGCAAGATTTATTTGGTCGCCGACGCTTTTTCTTTTTCAGAAATTCAAATATAAGTGTTGGTGTAAACGGAATGAAGATTCATAGGATCATTGCTATCTCAAAGTAACTGATAACCGTGCTGAGAGCGATTAAAGAGTGCTAAGAAGGTGAAAATTGACCTCAAATATACCGCTCATGACAGTTGTGGTTTTACATATTGTTTTGAAGAATACCTATATTTACCTCTTCTAAATACTTTAACAAAACAAACAAGTGTGCTTAAATAAAAACCTGAGTTTTGTAGTATTTAACCTTTTACTCGCCTCAATTAACAAAATTTTCAGATCACGATATAACGTTTACACTAATCTTAAGTGACGCTATTGGAATATTTACAAGATTGAAGTGATAATTGAAAAACTTAATTATTAAAACAACCTTAAAAAATTAACTGCAATGCGCACAGGTGAGTTAATTCTTAAGAAATGTCGATGCTTCTATAAAAATACTAGCCCATGAATTAAAACTAACATTTATTCAGCTCAAGAAGATGTATTTCAAAATTAGGTTTAGCTTTCATGTACATATGTTTTGATCCGTAAAACGAGCAGTCATTGACACATGAACGACCCACATATCACCTGTCAAGGTTTGCTAGTCGACAACGCAACAAATTGAAGATTATGTGAAAATATTGGCAAGTAATTACAAGATATTTTGATGAACATTAACGCCCTTGAAAAAGTAAACTAAACTATTTCACTCACCAAATAAAATAAGCTGTTTTTGTTGGCTTGTCATGCTGACCTTTCAATCCGAAAACTGTGGATTTGAACGTATCGAAGTGCGGGCTAAAATGTTTGAGCTACAGTTCGTCTCTTTGATTCAAGTCTTTTGACGAACGTGGGAAACCACCTTAACAGGAAACGTCGTTAATTTGTCAGAGTTATTTAAGGAGAGGGTCAGTAAGAGACCATCACGAACAATAGCTCCCAGAAATCCATGATCATCCATCATTTTACTATTTTAGCGAAGCAAGTGTGTGACTTTGTTGCTGAAAAGTTGCGCAATGAGAAACGCTTGTACGAAAGGCAGGTTTTTTCAAAACAATCTAAATCAATTTTACGGCTAACAAAGTTGTCATATTCTTGGTAACAGCGTTACATAATCCTTCAAACCTAGAATATTCAGCGAGAACAATAGAGCAGTACCGAATGTGCTCCGAAAGGTGACGTTTGACGTCAACGAAGTGAAAGTGTGGCAAAGCTTAAGTGCACAGGGGAACGTTGACAAAAGCAGTATGACCGCTCTAGGAAGAGCCAATTAAAGCTGGAATTATTAGCAAGAATGCATTTTCTTTACATCATTTAAGTCTTATTTTTGGAAGTAAAATTACCATAGTGCTTTCTTTGCATGTTCGAGGATAATTCTTTCCGTGCATCATTCAAAGGCGGTATTACTTGCGTTTTTTTTTAGCATCGTGTCCAGTTTCCCTCAGTGACAACAAATTGATACAATTCGGTAAATCTGACCTCGTTTAAACAGAAAACTATATATCTGACCTCCTAACGTAGCTCTGCATTCAGTTAAATTTAGAAACTTTTTTTAAGACGTGCCGTGACAGGGTCAAAAACTGTGGAGGAACCGAAAATTTATAACCTCCGGGCTCTCAAATGTTGGTTTGAAATAAATGGTCGGCAATTAAGCTGTTTTTCTACAAGATCAGTCCATTGTTTCTCGTTGTGGACTTAATTAAATATCCTCATGTATGCTACTTCAATTAAGATCTTCTTTATTTCAAGCAGACGGAGAAACAGAGCTACATTCTGTTCGTGACAGAAAAAAAAAGAAGTTTGTTTTGATCTAGATTTCCCTAAGCGCAAACAATCTCTCTTCTCCAGAGGACAAATTATGTCTTTAATTCAGGTTGCTCTTCCATAAATTTCAAATGCCATTGTCCTTGGTTAAGTATATCTCTTGAAATTCGATTTGTTTATCTTGCTCTCAGACACGCCCTTCCGCAGGAAGTCTTTTTCCGTTTTTTTTATTTTTCACTTTTGAAGCCCCTTGCGCCCGGATCGCTCGCGCCCGTGCGCCTAAAGTTCGCGTGAATTTTCACTGAGCACGCTCATTCACGAAGAAAACAATAAACAGAAAGCTTTTCAATTGGTATCTCTGATAGTGACAGATAAAAGCTGAAGTGCTGCAATTCGTGCGTGAGTCCTAGTCTACATATACAAAAAAGCCAGCTCTAAAGAAAACTTATCGGCAGATTAAAACATTTTTTCAAGACTGAGGACCGTTTGTACTTCTCTGTATCTTAAGAAAGATAATTTCATGGCATAATCTCATAGCATTTTGTGCGAAGAAGTTACATCTTCATCGCCGCAAGGATCAGAAGCATTATTTTTCCTGCTTCGTTTACATCATATCGCGTAATTTGCAATCAACTCGGCCGGCGGAGTACATGCTTTTAACTACCAAAATGATGAAATTTCTCTGCATTTCTAATTAAAGTAATTACATCATTCGTCTAGCTGTCTTCTGCCTAAATGCTATCGTATCTGACAGGTAAGGGGGAACGATGATCTCTTTTGAAGCCGAAAAGATTTCCTCTCTTCATGGCACCCTTTTACAGAATACCAGAATGCTCTTGCACTACCATGAAATGCTTACGCTGCAATTACGCTTTTTGAATTAACAGCGGCGTGTTCCGCTCAACGCTGCTTTGAAAAAAGACTTTTCAAAGAGTTTTTACCTATAAAACCATAAGAACATAAGAACATATTGCAAAGGCGAAAGCTGAGTTGAAAAGTGAAAATTAATTTGTGTACTTGAGTATTGTTATTCAATAGTTCAATTACCTGTTTTAGCGACTCCACAAAAGAGTGCTTCTTTTTGGAAACGAAGAGGGTTGTTAAGAATATACAACACTGTTTCTAAATAAGTTACTGCCACTATTGATAGATTATCACGCATAAATGTCAATAATTCCTATTATACGATTCCTATCGGATTTTCAATTTGTCTTGAAACGATTATCGATGCATCAAGCCAGCAAGTGATTTGATAATGATCAATGACGCTCTCACTCACCAAGAAGAGCAAACTGTTTCACTCTGTGATCCATTGTGGCAGTCTCGTGAGCACTTCTTAGAGATGAACTCAAGATAGCTTGAAAATTGAACCGGACTAAAAGAGCTTGAGTAATATCTACTCACGACATTCGATTTTAATGGGAAACTCCCGGCCAATCACGCAATAGTCTATTTTAAACGTGCGTCCTTTTAAGAATTGACATGTCAATTCACACCCAAGAGAAGTCATTATGATAATCGTATGCAACGGAATATTTTATCAATTCAAATTCTAAAAGGTAACGTCATTAACTGTAAAATTGACTTTCTCAGCATATCAAAATCGCTTTTCAGCTCATCTATAATTGTACGGTGAATTTCCCCGCTTGGATGGAATTTACGTTTCGAAACTTACGCAACAGTAACTTTCGTCTCCCACGCACATCTCAAATGTAGGTCGTAAGAAAAAATATCGTTTTTGATCTCTGGAAAATGAAAGGTTTCGCAACAGTTTCAATATTTCTCAAAAATTCTTTCACAAAAAGTTGCTAAAAACTGTTTCTTAAATTCAAATAAAGAACACTAGGTTTTTGCTTTAATCAAGTATGGCATAAAGGCATTTGTTACACGTCAGTTGTAGCAGTCACGCTAACCCAGTGTCACGCTAGCTCAAGGTGAAAAATGCTTACGTGGAAGTCAAATAGAGAATGACAGTATTTTATTCCGATGTAAAAACCTAATAAAGATCTAAGTTTTGCAAAGATACGTGAGGTATGATGAAAATACGTGACAGTAGCGCGCGAGACATGGAATTTTGTGGCGTATTTGTTTGACGTAAAGTTTGAAAATATTATCATTTTCCTCTCTCAAAGTTCCGGTTTCGGTTTGTCAATGCTGCGTCTCTCACATGATCAGGAATCTACTACAGGTTTTTCCTTTATCGCATCGCCTTTTTTTTGCACAGATCTCATTCGATTACATCCAAAATATGAGTTCAATTTCCTGTTTTCAAACCAGAATTTCTAGAAGAACATACAAAGTCGTGGCTTTGACCGACCGACATTTTGAATCACTGATATTGCTTCCATTATAGCCGGCCGTAAACATGTTGATTACAAAGTACCTTTGTTTCTTGGATGAAAGCGTAAAATCAATTCTTGGTAAAAAAAAAAAAAGAGGACAAAATTGAATTGTTGTAACTCAGCATAAAATGTTTCGCTCTTCTTCCTTTCAAGAGCGGAAAATTTTTGCTCAACTGTAACTGAACAAGGTCTGCTTCAAAGGGACATGATGTTCTGGGGTAAGTTAAACCGACATCGCGCAAACGCTTACATTTTATGCCTGGGTCCTCTAAAATGGGAAGATCTATTTAGTCATATACCCTTTCTCTTTTTCAGAAATTCAAATAGAAGTTTTGGTATAGGTGGAAGGAAGATTCCTATGATCATAGCTCTGTCTCATAAACTTTACCGTGCTAAGAGCAATTGGAGAGTCCTAAGAAAATGAAAATCGGCTAAATAGGTATTATTGACTTCAAAAATGCCGCTCACGACAGACGTGGTTTTACATATCGTTTTAGAGAAGACCAATATTTTTCTCTGCTAAATGCCAAAACAAAACAAACAAGCGTGCTCAAATGAAAAACCGAATTTTGTGGTATTCAACTGTTTACTTGCTTCAAAAATTCGAACTTAATTTTCTAATCACGATATAACGTTTACACTAATCTTAAGTGACATTATTGCAATATTTACAAGATTAAAGTAAAAATTAATTATTAAAACAACCTTGGAAATTAACTGCAATACGCACAGGTGAGTTAATTCTTAAGAAATGTCGATGTTCCTATATGTTTTGTTCCGTAAAACGAGCAGCTATGGACACATTGAACGACCCGCATATCACATGACTAAGTTTGCTGGTTAGCAACGCAACAAATTAAAGCCGGTTATGTGAGAATATTGGCAAGTAATTACAAGATGTTTTGATGAACATTAACGCCCTTGAAAAAGTAAACTAAACAATTTCACTCACCTAATAAAAAAATCTTTTTTCGTTGGCTTGTCATGTTGAACTTTCGATCCGAGAACTTATCGAAATGCAGGCTTAAGTGTACGAACTACAGTTGTCTCCTCTCTTATAAAAGTAATTTGGGAAACCCCCGAATCTAAAAAAAATCATCAGTTTGTCATGGTTATTTTAAGCCGTGGCCGTGATAAAAGGCCATCCCGAACACTCCCAGAAATCCATGATAATCCAACATTTCGCTATGTTAGAGAAGTAAGTGTGTTGTTTTGTTGCTAGAAAGTTGCGCAATGAGAAACGCTTGTAGGAAAGGCTGGTTTTTTAACTCTCTAAATCAATTTTACGCCTAACAAAGTTGTCATATTATTGATAACAGCGTAGCATATTCCATCAAACGCAGAATACTCTGTGAGAACAATAGAGCAGGACCGAAAGGTGATATCCGGACGTCAATGAAGCGAAAGTGACGTCAAAATTTGATCGACACAGGAACGTTAACAAAAGCAGTTGGACCGCTTTAGGAAGAGTCAATTAAAGCTGTAATTGTTGGGGAGAATATTTTGTCTTTTCATCGTTAACGTCTTATTTTTGGAAGTAAAATTACCATAATGCTTTCTATGGATAATTTTTTCCCACAGTGACGTGCATCATACAAACACAAGGTTACTTGTGTTCTTTTTTAGCATCATGTAAATTAAATTTTCTTTAGTGCAAACAATCTCTCTTTTACAGATAGTAAAACACGCCTTTATTTAGGTTGCACTTTAATGGATTTCAAATGACATTGTCTTTGATTTAGTATATCTCTAAATTGCTTAAAATTCGATTTGTTTATCTTGCTCTCCGACACGCCCTTCCGGCTCAATGCAGGAAGTCTTTTCCGTTGTCACTTTTAAAGCTCCTTGCGCCCGGATCGCACGCGCCAGTGCGCCAAAAGTTTGCGTGTATTTTCACTAAGATCGCTCATTGACGAAGAAAACAATAAAAATAAAGTTTTTCGATTGGTATTTCTGATACTAACGGATTAACAGCTGAAGTCGTAGATGCATGCGTGAGTCATAGTCTACTTATAGTAAAGTTAACCCTTGGGGTGATAACTATTGACTCGGTTTCGTTTCAGATCTGAAAGGCCCTGAAACACTCAAAAATAGACTGGAACAGCCTTGAAACGAGATAATAGTTGTCAAGTTTTTTTTTTCTAACTTTTCAAGCAGTCTATTGCTATTTTGCCCCTCTGGTTGTTTCGGTTTCATCTTAACGATGTAGTTTGAAGAGTGTACTTCACGCGAGCCGATATCAAGGCCGTTTAAACGAGGAAATAATCCACCGCAGTCCTAGACGCTGACCGCACCATTTATTCGAGAAGGGCTTGATTAAACCGAGAAGGGCTTGATTAAACCGAGAAGTGCTCCTGTGAACACATGGTTTGCGTCGTATTATGGAAATATAAGAATGGTAGCGAATGGTGGCAGTTGCGCAGAGTAAGTTTTAGGTAAGCCGTGATGCAATCTATACCGGTGCCTTTGTATCTTATCAATGCCGCGAATTATTTAAGATGTGCTCAAAATCCTCGTCTTAAATTAGTCACGACTTTTCAAAGAGGAAATGTACTGCTTATAAGGTGCATTAACAGCCCTATTGGCTGCGTTACTGGCGGTTTCGTGACTGCTTCGAAGCGACAAGCGGCAGATCCGTAAAAAGTGAGCAGTTAAGCCACGGAAGTTATAGATGCGAAGGATTGAACTTAAATCAAGGACACTCGTCTAAAATCGAGTACCTTGGTTTTTTTTTATATACTTTTAGCACTCTCAGGAGCTCGTTAACTAACAGCTAATGAGTTAAATTAGTCCATTAGGGTTGGATTTTGATCTTAAGCAGCTGTAATTAAATTTCTTGCGAGTAATTATTTTCTGCAAGCAGAGCATGCCATCGAAGCACATGCGCGTATGTATTCGATTCTACAGATTTATTAGGAATTACACTACATTTTAATGAAAATGTATTTCAAGTCACGAGCTCTACTGCCACGTACAAGCCAAAACTGCAATTAACCGTCTGCGTAGATTTTCAAATTTTGCCCCAAAGTACTTGACTGGTTTATGACTGAAGTTTTCCAAAATTTTATGAAGTTTTAAGTTCTAAGACCTACTTATGACTTACCGTACATGACGATGTATGTGGACAAGTGTGGCATGTTGCTCATTCTTCGTACGACCTAACGAGAAGAAAACTTCAACAGACTGATTTTCCCGCAAAGAGCGACTTAGATTTTATAAGGATGCTCCGGGGCAATTCCCAACACTTTCCGAGGTTTTTCCGCCACAAACGTACAACATGAAACAGCTCATATTTATTTTCAGTGCCGTTTATTGCAAACAGTTTTCGTGATTGAACAAACAGTTTACGTAAATGAGCCAATCTTTCCCGGAAGAGTGACCAAAAAATATACATGCTATCCAGTATGATAAAACATAGAAAATCAAGGGAATAACAATTTGCCAATTTGTTGAGAAGAGACAGATTTAAGAGAGGATTCGATTATTAAAGAAGTGCTAAGCGACACGCAATCTTACGATAACTTCGGAGACAGGGTGCAAAACTATCTAGTTTGTGGCGTGCCACTCGAAATTAGATGTGAAAGTCGGTTAGAGAGACATGTATTGCTGATTTACAATGGGACGAAGTGTACATCAGTTTGCAATAGGCCTTTCAAGAAAATATACGCTTTGTTCCGTTTCCGTTGTTTTATTTCTGACATGCACCACTTGGTTGGCCCGTCATGTCACCGCAGTAAAATTTCGTGACTTGCCATGGCTTGATATTGGCAAAATGGGGTATCGTGGTCGTTTTATATCGAGAGCTTTGATTTTGGTTTACCAGAAACCTTAAGTGATCCCTAATTTTTAACAGTTCTCTCTCAAACTTGGTATTCATAAAGATTCATCCTAATAGTATCGATGAAGTTTTGCGCCCTGTTCCAAATCAAAAGTTGAAAGAAAACCCTGGGTAAATACATTAATATAGGATTCGTCTTTGCTGTCACGTCTCTGAAAATAGCAATTACTCGAAAACTGATTCGAAACTGAAAATAAAAATTCCCGGCTATGCCAAACTTGCATACGTCACGATAATGTTTTTTTTTTTTAATCAGTCACTGACTCATAGAACATTTCACAAAGGAACAAATCCCCGTCAACGAACGAAAGATTGTTCGCTTCCACCATACTTGAGTAACAGGAAGACGTTTGTAAAGATGTCACGCAACGATCTCTGACGTGGGTGGCTGAGGTCATAGCTATTAATCAATTTGTTGATCTGGCTCATTATCACAGTTGTCACGTTGGAAGAGGAACTGTAAAATAAACGCAATTTTTCATATTAAATAAAAGAAAACTGACTGTAATGTTCGCGGAGAAGAAACAGAACTTGTTTCCGAGTTGTGATCTAAAAGAAACATTGGGGTTTGCATGTTACTTTCGTTACGAAACAATCGGGCTTGTGGGTCTTAGAGAATATAAAACCTGTAAAGCCGCATTTCCTTCCCTTGGGGAATCCTACCTCCTAGTGAACCCTAAAATTTACGGTGGTTAACGTCCGTCGCGGCAAAATCAATGCGACAGGGGAAATAGACAAGATAAATTTAGACACGGCAAAATCAATTTGGCGGTAAGTGTGGCTTGAAAAAAAATTAGTCTAAATTTTTCAAGCTTGTCGAATGCAAACCGTACTACCGTGAACGCTTTGACCAGTCCATTCTTCTCTCCGCTCTATCAAGAGCACGGGCCCTCCCTCCCACGTCTTCCCGTACCCACAGTAGTTAAACGTAGGGTAATAAGCTCGGGAGGGTGTGGAGGGGGGAGGGGAGGGGGGTGTCAGAGGGTTCATTGATTAAGGAGTGATCATCTTTGTACTTGCCCTTGCCTTGAGAAATATTCTTAGAAATATAACATTGCTTTACAATGAAATAATACACACAGACCTTCTCGATTTTCTCCCGATCAAAATTTCTGTAAAGTGATCCGAGCTTTTTTTCTGACTTCTGAATATCTGACAAAATCGTACATCGTACGTGTGAGCCCGCGGTTTCCATGTTATATGCAACACACGAAGATCGACGCACGCATAGGTCCATGCAGTGTAGCTCTGAGACCACGTCCTCTCTGAAATTCACTTGGCCGATTAAGATCGCGTCGAAAGTGACATCGGAGAGTTGGGGAGGAGAACAAGATTCACCTTGGCTTCGCAAAGCAGCTTCCTTGCCTGTTAACCATAAGTTACCCGAATTAGCTATCAATCAACAAACGACTGCAAAAAATCTGGAAATATCAATTGCAAAAAGAGTCTTAGAATAAACTATTGACCCCAGCTGGACTTTCTCCCAAACTTCTCTTTTCTTTGAGATTCCAAGCTGGAGCGAAAAATTTCGCATAAACTTTATGAGGTTGAACTTGCTTCCCGTCCCCTCCCCCATGAGGTTCCGAACCAAACGCATCTTTCCCCTTACTCCCTATCCCCTTCTTCGTACTTCTTGTAGGTCGGATGCCCCAACACCGAGCTTCAAGGATCTTTTGGTTGGATCTTCGAAGTCAGCGAGAATGAAAATCTTGAATTGTGACGAACAAGTTCTCAATGGGAATTGGACAGAAAAAAATTGGATCGGGGGGAGGAGTCAAGGAGAAATAGAGATCTTTTTTTGATTAAGGGGGGGTGGGGTGGTAGTATAAATAATGAGGGGAAACAAGAACCGCTGAACTGTGTCGTGATCATCTATTAATTTGTCCTTTCTTTAACCCTAACATTAGAATAAGGACCTTTAAAAAGCAAACCACTACCGCGACGGCAACGAAGGCGTGGCAAAATAAAAGATTTGATGGGTAGAACAACAGCTGAGTACTTGCGTTTCAGTGTACAATTCTCAGCTGTCCTCTACAAAACAACAACGTGAAATCACCAAAATTTGCATGGTCTGGGAACAAAAAATCCGACGGCAAATCAATCAAGTTTCCATTTGGACCTCAACACTGCCCGCATACTTTATGCTGAAGTTGATCATGAGGAGTAGTGCCGTAAAAGACGTTAGACACATCCAGCCATTTGCAAAACTCTATCTAAAAGTATAATATAATTTTTTAAATAGACATCCTCCTCGGCGTTGTTGTCCTGCATGCCTGTTAAAGGTCCCTATTTTACTTATGGAGACTGTCACCTGCCTTGGGAGATCATAAAATCACAAAATCAGATTTCAAAAATGATATCACTTTTGTCTCAAATTATCAATATTTTGACACTTCATATGTTACGTCAAAAACATCTGCCCAAAATGGAGACTATCACACGACTAATAAGATTTTAAGAAACATGTTTCATAATCTGTGTTTCTTAAAAAGTGATTTAGCCTAATTCTTAATTTGTTATTTGAAATCCTTGTCAGTGATGTTCATTCTGAAACAGTGTTTTCAGTTTTTAGTTTATAATTCGTGTTTTGATATTTCCTTTTCTTGTCGAGCCAATATTTCGAAATTTCTCCCACGTTTAGAGTGATTTTGCACGCAGTAAAAGGTCGTGATTCAAAATATCGGTGACAGCATCCTTATCGTCGATCGAACGGATTCTTTTTGATGATAAATATGCTTTATTAAAAGAAGTTCGTGAGATGAAAATAATTTGAAGGTTTCGGAAACAAAAAATTGGGATGAGGTTAATAAACGTACCTGAGGTCCTTTTGCAACCGATTAATATCGTTGAAAAGATCAGCGCGCAAATCAATAACATGGTCAGCGGAGGTGAAAAAACCAAAGAAACTCCGACCAAAATTGTAAAACGTAGATCTGAAACAGTTGAAAAGGAAAAAAATATTTCAATCTGTCATCCAAGATGAAGTCTAGAATCGTTTCAAACAGAGCAATAAAGATATTTGATAAGTTTGTGGTTTATTTTACTTACCGTTCAAAGCGTCCAGTCTCGATAAAATAGTTTTTTTCAGTAGAAGGCCTGGTAAAGTACAATAATGACTGTACGCAATTGCATAAAAGGAAAGAACTGCTTTTGCATGTGGGTATTGCGAAAAAGGTGATGAGACAGTGAAGTATTGAAAATGTCCACGTTAATGGCATTGCTATCTCGTTTCACCGGAAAACAGCAAAAAAAAATTTCTTTCAGCCTATTAAAGATTTTTATATGATTTGTTTGCACGGGACACTTGAGCATAAAAACAGGAAATGAAGAAGACCTCGTGGGAGATAACCTTTAATGATAATTGGAAGGCGTCAAAAACTATTATACCGCCATCAAAAGTTCTTACATCAAAGCAATTTACAAGTGAAACTGGACCTCTCCAAACTCATTATACAGAGATCTTATCGGTAAATCTCCCAACTGTATGCCTAATAATCCGTATGACTCTAATTTGGAGAATTTGGAATTGGTTCAACCAATAATCCTCTAATTGATGTTTTTGTTTATTCTCGTCACTTGTCTGCTTGATATTTTATTAATATTGTAAGGAGAAATTGCGTCTTGATCACTTATGGGAGTCAAAAGGTTATGGAAACAATTGCCGAAACATTCTTTTATTTACAAGTTTCTATATTTCAAACAAGAGATTAAAAAGTTTCAAATCTCTTGATTTCAAATTCTGCACAAGGGCACGCGAAATACATTAAATGGCGGCAGGAGTTTTAGGCTGCCTTCTTATAGTAAGCGCTGTTATCAGCATTTTATATTTCTGATCATAATTATTTTATCTCGTTTTGACACCGTATATGACAAGTACCTAAATAGCCATTCGTGAAGAGAAGGAAAAGGCCCCTACGTGGAATAATTTAATTTCCTTACATCTTATTATTTGGCACTTTTCAAAATGAAAACTGATAAAATCAAAAGGGTGAAAGTATTATGCAAATTTTCGTTCCAAAACAAAAAGCGATCGCTTAAAAGCTTAACAAATAATGGGTGTTAGTAAGGTATCTGCTTTCGGCAATTTGTGTATTCAAATGAAGATATTTGCACTAGCAAAAATACTTTTTTCACTAGTTTTCGACAAAAGTGAATGATTATTAGATTTCAGTAAAATTGTTTCGGTGATTATGGAGATTCTCGCGCTCTGATTGGTCGAGGATTGCGTCATATCTCGCGATAAGCACCGCGCACGAGGAGATTATAACGAGGGCACTAAATTTCAAAACGGCTGCCTCGCACTTCGTCGATGTTACCAGGAAGTAAGGGTGATAAAGGAAAATTCAATTCTGAAGAGCTAAAAAGATGCTACTAAGATCGGTGTACCACTTTTAAAAAATAAGAAATTAAGAGGGACGGTCAGGAAATATCGACCATTGAGTGGCAAGAGTTGAAAAATGAATTTCGCTTATTTTCTGACTATAAAAAGCTACTAAGAATAGAAGAAATTTAATGTATTTCTTTTTCTTCCGGAGCGCTTTAATTCTGAGAAAACTGAGAAAAAAGAATTTGACCCGCGAGGATCCCGAAAGGTCCCGCAAGCAAATGTGAAATTGATATTTTAAACTGACTTTTGGTCTTCAAGGAAAAACGATTCAAAGGATCATGACGCCGAATTTTGATAGAGTGAGTGCCGTACTTTCCCAGAAACTATATGACTTATCTTTATTGTTGTTCATAAATCGCAAACAACGCGCAGGAAAGTGCTATATTTTCAAACGTGAAAAATCCCGCAAATACCTCCTTAATTCAAATGTTTTTTTCACTATGTGGTATAATTCAGATTTTCCTTTTAACTATGTCATTAGAGGGATTTAAGGTTGTCCTCTCTAATATGTTAGAATCAGCACGGGTTTCCTTTACAGCGCCTCACGCGAAGGTTTTGAAATGACAGTAATTCATTCAAATTTTTTACAACGACTGAGTAAACAATTCTTGTTGCGTGACCGTAACGTCAAGCGGAGATTTTACACAGCAGGCCGGAATATACACGAAAGCGTACTGAAAACGATTCTGGTGTGAGCTTTTCGTCCTTTTTTATTGAAAAAAAGGCAATCGGCCGAAGAGGGGTTATTTTTTATTATTGTTAAGGTGAAAGTTTTCCTTTTCAGTGTAAGATGTTTTCCCTGATAAATATCAGGATGTAATTTGATTAGCTCTCGGCTAACCTGTTTAACTTTTATACTTGTTTTTTTCGCTTCCTTTGGTTTCAGAAGAATCGGAACAGAAAGAAAAAAATAATAGATGCTTTTTAAATTGATATTTTCTTCAATTGTGAGGATTCATTTTTATTATTTGTTGAAGAAATGACAGAGTTGGCTAAAGCTCGAAGCAGTTTACTTGCCGTGGTAAATTGAATTAGTCAATTAAATGCAAAGAGGGAAAATTTAATTAGCGAAGTTGGAGTGAATTTATTTTGCCAGTTTTGTGTCATCATGGACGTTAAGTACTCTTTTAGCTCCTTAGTCGGCGGTTCTTGCTCTTATGACCCCAGAGATAGGAGCAGATCAACTGAGCTTATTCCATTTCTGAACTGCAAAAGAGACATCGCGGGTCATAAGTCTTCCTTGTCAATAACTAACGTAGAAACCGAAATCGAACTTATTTTGGGAAGAGTATCTACATCCTTTTCTTCGGAGTTAGACCTTTCGGAATTAACAATTTGTCCCCGGCACTGCTCATCCCTCGGTATTGGGTGGCGTCGAGGATCGAATCTGTGCCGAGTTCCTCCGCCAATCTCGAAGCACGGCGGACAAGCCCAAAAAAACGCAAAGGCAGAAAGAGGACTTGGCAAAAGTGCTTGTTATTTGATATGGAAGAAACTGGGAATTTTTATGCCAGTTGGTTCAGGTATGTATACATCATTTTTCATCTTTTTCAACCAAACAGACCAGCCCTAAAATGGCGGTCCAATTTGACACTTCAATAAAAGCACTTTGTAAGCATTTTTCTTTTTTTTTTATTTTGACTTTTTCAATAATTAAGTAGCCGTGACGGTCGCAAATTCAATAGCCTTTGTTTATTTACGTGTTTCTTTTCCTTTCATTATTCTAACATTTTATATTAGTGATTGTAGCAGCAAAAAGGTAAATTTAGAAGCCTTCACCGGACTCCTAAACATATCAAACTCATGGGGTACAAATAGTCTTAACAATAGTGACCAAGCCCACTTCAACACCCCACTCAAATCGAGTGTAATTTTCGAATGTTTTACCATCGTGCGGATTCTCTACGGAAAAAGCACTCAATGTACCTCTGAAATATTAAACTATAATATTGTGGCTTTCTATTTCGCTAATTTTCTAACTTGAAGGTAAAGTTTTTCCCTCGTCATTTTTATCTTTTCTCCGAGCGGTTGCGTGAAATTAACAAGGTGTTTTTGATCAAAACACGACCGAGCGAAGGGTCTCGGGTGATATCTCTTTTACGCAGGCGCAAATAAAAAATGTACCACCAGAATCAAAAAGAGAAACAAATTTCCTTTGTTTTGATATGTAAAGTGTCGAACAAAAAGCAGATTTACCTTCGTCAAATGGCGTTTCAAAACAGCTGTATCTTCCTCCTTTTGATTTTTCCTGTTTTGTAAGCGTGAAAGCAGTAGGAGAGGGATCGGGAAACTCAGAAAGCGCTTCGGGAATTAATCTGCCATCGTTTACTTACAAGATAAACAAGTAAGATTTGTGAAGTTCGTTGAAGTATGAAGTCTAAATAAATGCCTTTTTAAAGCTTGTTTGCTGGATTTTTCGTAAACTTCCCTGATTAATTTTTCGTTTCAGCTTACTAGTCTATACTATTTCAAAGCAATGTCAAGACGAAGACGGAGAACCATGAGTCGGTCCTTTTAACAATCGTAAACAAAGTGTTTGAGCAATCAGGTATACGAGGTGTAATAATCAATAGCCGCATATCAGAAGTCTTCAGAAAGAAAGTATTCTGTCTTCAGAAAGCTGTCAAGAAAGCTAATAATCGTGGCGGAAGGCAATTAAACGGGCCCTCGGTATCGATTTAATATCATATCGATCTCAATATCGTACAGTTTTGTATCTTTCTTCCGTGGATTCGCCTTTTGACGAGGGTGTATGTTGAGAATTCATTGCAAAATCGCTTTGTTTTTTTTAATTTTCCTCTTTGACCTGTCCGCCATTTTGAAAATTCGTAACGGAGAGCATGCGCATTACGTGAGGTTAGTGGTTGCGTACACCTGGAACCGAGAAAAACAAATGTTCGTCGCACTGGGGAAAGAGTTTGATATGTTACAGCTTTTTAAAGCAGATTCCCCGATGGCCTATAGATAGTTACAGGGAGACTCAGCCCCTAAAGGGTACCTTTATCAGGCTTCAGGTATATAAAAGGGTAGGGAATTGAAGAGTTGAAGTATATGAAAGGGCAGGAAAATCTATCATTTAAGTTTATTAAAACAGGTTCCCTTACTTGTGTAAATTAAGACCGTAGTTGTTCAGAATAGTGATTATATCGTATCAGCAAAAACCTGTATTTTCCATCGATTCACTCAACAGGTATTTGTCGCAACTGCCGGGTTAATCTTGATATGCAGAAAATAGGGGAGCTGCCCACAAAGCTTCCGGAGACCAAGAACCTTTCTTACGAGGAAACTGAGACCAATGAGACTTCTGTAAGCTCTGAACTGGCACTCAATGGAAATAGTGTTATTAACAGTGGCACCAAACAAGGCCCGCGGGGCAAAAAAAAAAAAAAAAAAAATGGATAGGGACCTTATCATCACAAAGTCTGCATGAGCGGGCCCCGTTTCCTTGCTGCCTTTCCTTAAAATGTAACGAATAAGGATAGAGAGCACAAATTAACCGATTTCGTAGACCTCAAACTGTGTGCTGGTATCCAAGAAAACAATGCCATATACTTATTTTGTGCTTTCTACGTCAGTTTTTCCTGAGTTCCGCAGATAATGAAGAGGTTTAATACCCCGTGCATTTTATGGCGCCCTTGCGTCTGCACACAGTTAAAATTTATTCAGCGGATTTTCATTTTTATTCTCACCAAAAATCTGAGAATTTGAAGCAGTGGCAACAAGTTAAAGACCACGTAGTCCGCGATGGTAAGCTGAGGCCAAGTTG